TCGTGTTCAAGCTCCTAACCTGATGAAGATCTGTGTTATAAACTCCAAACGTCGGGTTCAAGCTCCTGACCTGATGAATATCTCTGTTATAAACTCCAAACGTTGTGTTCAAGCTCCTGACCTGACGAAGATCTGTGTTTTTAACTCCAAACATCGTGTTCAAGCTCCTGACCTGATGAAGATCTGTGTTTTTAACTCCAAACGTCGTGTTCAAGCTCCTGACCTGATGAAGATCTGTTTTATAAACTCCAAACGTCGTGTTCAAGCTCCTAACCTGATGAAGATCTACGTTATAAGCTCAAAACTTCGTGTCCAAACTCTTGACCTGATGAAGACCTGCGTTACCAGCTCTAAACGTCATCTCCAAACTACTTCAGGTGGATGAAGTTTTTTACAATATCCAAAATGAATCATTACCCCCCACCCACACACACACACCTAAGACCTATTTACATAACATTGATGGTGTAAATGGATCTTAGTGTTTTCATCAATATGTGTTTTATTAGGGTAAAAGTAACCAGTCAAAAATCAAACTCATGTTTTAACTAATTAGATAAAAGGGCACACATAAAAAACCTATACAAATAGTGCCATAAATATTACACGAGTTAATTAATAGATATTCAATAAAACTCAAAATAATGGATAAATATTACGATATAACAGAGCGTAAGTGATTTATCAGATATCAGATATTCCTAGGTCAATATTTTTACATTACTTTGTGATTTACGATCTAAATAATATTTAGGTCTTTCTTCTATACAGAGAAAAATCACCAGTCTGTTAACTAACAGCTAAAGAGAGAGATCAGGGCTTTATACTGCTAAAACAGTTATTTTACGAAACACTAATGTTTTCACAGTGAACTTAAGTCTTATAGGTTCACTGGAAACTTAAGACTTATATGTTCACTGGAAACCTAAGCCATATAGGTTCACTGGAAACTTAAGTCTTATAGGTTCACCGAAAACTTAAGTCCTTTGGTTCACCGGAAACTTAAGTCTTATAGGTTCACTGGAAACTTAAGTCCTATAGGTTCACTGGAAACGTAAGTCCTATAGGTTCACTGGAAACTTAAGCCTTATAGGTTCACTGGAAACGTCATGACATTCCCTAATCGCAAGCAAACTGATAAGTTAATCACACTTGGTAAAGATATCTCTACCAGAAGTATGGTCTTCTACCTCGTCTCATTTTTTAGATTCTTCTATATATCTTTTGTGTGAGTTAATTCAAAACACATTTTGACATTTATTGTCTAATTTATTTAATGAACCATATACATCTCAACAACCCCAGTGGAGTAACAGTTATAATGAATAAAAATTGTTTTATGGCAGGCTGTTTTACTTTTCTGGACACTGAGTCTATGTTATATTGAACATGATCAATACACATAACTTGATATTACTTTAACCACATCTGTGCTGGAATCTAATAACAATGTAGTTGCAAATACAGAGATATATAACAGACGAGGTTAGATTGAATTTGTATAATGTATTCCTATGTAAAGTTTACCCTCTTACTTTTGGGGAAGTTTAACGTGAAATTGATATTAATATTTTTATGGGGAATAATAAGAACTATCGTGCCTGCGCTCGAATAGGTTATGTTGGTAGTTTTTATCAGCATATACATAAGCCAAATAAGGTGTTTTTGTTTTATGAAAAACTTTAACAATATCAACCGTTTCTGACTGTTCGTATGTGACAAATTGAATTGAAAACGTTGAACACTGATGCCTGATTTACGGCATGCCAAATTAATACTGGAAATCCTTACACTGCCTGATTTTGTATGCTGAAACACTGGTAGCGTGTTTGTTTGATTACCATCTTTGGTAACGCAAGTATCATTTTAGCCCCATATAAAGCAAATTCTTTATTTCTATACTTTATTTGACCTGATTACGATCCGCGTTCATTTAGTATTTTAATAAAAAGTTATTATCAAAACAAGCTTAGTTGATACAACCTTGGCTAGGAATGAAATAACAAGCTTAACTGATACTACCTTGGCTAGGAATGACGTAAAATAGAAAAAAATAGAGTTTCTAATTTTGTACATTTATCTGTTAATTACATGCTACAAACTGGTTCTAAAAAATAAAATAAAACTCTGAACTCACTGAAGTAACTTGTCCAAGAACGTGGTAATGACTTTAAAGTTTATGCTTCTAACCTGTTTTTGTGATATTTTAATTACAATGGAAATTTGTTATGAGGCAAGAGAAATATAGATATTATGTTGATGGTAAAGTTTTTACCACTTTAATTCGATTTAATGCCCGTTATCTTAGCGTTAAACTATTTAAGTAAAATATATCATTTTCGAGAAGATATTTAACTAGCAAGTTGGGTTACGAGATTGGTGAAGTACCTTTCTATTTTAACGATACTCATACCAAAGAAACAAGCTGACGTTATTAGGCAGAACTTGTATCAGGATTACTGAATATTCAATACGATATCGAACTCAAAATATAAGTGGAGATCACATGATCGTATTCTACGGTTGCCAAAAAACGTATAAATTGTACAACGGTTACACCGTAGTCACATAATCATAATTCATTGTTGTCACGAAACGTGTAAAGTGTACAACGATTACACTGTAGTCACATAATCATGATAAATGGTTTTTTTCACAAAACATGAAAATTATAAAACAGTTGAATCATGGTCACATAATCATGCTCTTTGGTTGTCACGAAACGTGTAAAGTGTACAACGGTTGCACCGTGATCATGTTTACAAACATGAACATGAAATCAGTAATGTATATCATACGGTTTAAGACTAAGCCTATATGTTTTGTTGATGTTGAATGAATATTCGTATGTTTTAAGCATCATGATTGCCTTAGTTTGTCTAAAGATTCAAAATGTGTTGATTAATAAAATCAAAATAGCATATGAAGTGCACAAAATAGCAACAAAATAATTTGTTTTATAGGAGTTTCTACAATACAGAAACCGAATGAGCGAGTTATGAAAAATGTTCTTCTTTTAAAAAAAATTGACTAAATATTCGAGTCATTTTAAAGAAAAATTGAATAGTACAATAGATTCACCAATAAAATAACCTTACAAGGTAAATATATATATTCATAAAATAACCCTACAAAGTATATGTATATATTCATAAAATAACCTTACAAAGTAAATGCATATATTCATAAAATAACCTTACAAAGTATATGTATATATTTATAAACTAACCTTACAAAGTATATGTATATATTTATAAACTAACCTTACAAAGTATATGTATATATTCATAAAATAACAAAAACAAAATGTATGTATATATTCATAAAATAACCTTACAAAGTATATTATATATTCATAAAATAACAAAAACAAAATATATGTATATATTTATAAAATAACAAAAACAAAGTATATGTATATATTCATAAAATAACCTTACAAAGTATATTATATATTGATAAAATAACCTTACAAAATATATGTATATATTTATAAACTAACCTTACAAAGTATATGTATATATTTATAAAATAACCGTATTGTTTCTTCTTCTGTCAATTCCACTTACAAAGCATTTGATTCTTTATTGACGCTAAACTTGATAAAATTATTATCAATAAAAGGTTTGAACATTTTGTTTGGCAAGACGATAAACAACGTGTAATATACGTGGAAAAGAAACAAAGCCAATATTAGAAGTTATAAATTTTTGACATAATTTGTGAGCGTTGGGAGTGACTATAGACATTAATTTTGCAATAAATTATATCTATTTTTTTCAAGTGATATGTATTCGTTTGTTTGTTTATGTATATACAACTTTGGAAAACGTAAAGTGTTATTAGATAATTCGTACTGGAAATTTTTTACCTAGATAAACATTATTCAAAAACAAAGACTGTGAAATCAAAGTTATTTGCAGCAAAGAACGTTTCATTTATATTCAGATATACAAGAATGTTTCCATCTCAATTTCTTTATTTATTTAAAATGGTTATAACATCATATAATGTTGGAAAACTCACCTTATCTTGTTAGCCTAATTCACACACAAGAAATCCAATATGTGTTTGTTAGTATATTTATCACGTTAAAGAGCTGTGGTTATTTTAATAAATATGAAGCAATATAACTTACTCATAATTGTTTTGACCGAAGAAAAATATAAAGTGGATCATATAATGGCTGAAAACAATAAAACTAAATAGGAATCATGTTTTACAAAATGAATAGATCAGTAGTTAATATTGGAGCGATTAAATGAAAATAGAAATAGCATATTTTTGTCTTTGTTTGTTTTTAGTTAAGCACAAAGCTGCACAATGGGCTAAATATGCTATGCCCACCACGGGTATTTAGTGTTATAAGCATTCAGATTCAACGCTGATCTTCTGAGGGGGGGAATATTTTGGTAAGTTTGGATAATTATTCAGCACAGACGTTAAAAATTAAGTATGCTTTAATAGAATATTATAATTCATTTCATGTTGTTTACCAGTGAAATTAACATATGTAAAATCAAATTAAAGATTTAACACGCTATCAACATAACTTAACATGGGACACATGTGTTACGAAAAACAAGTTAGCAAGTTGCAGAAAATTATTTTTGTATCTGTTTTCATGACTCTTATATTACAACGTTTCAGCAGCCGCTTTGGACGTTACAGTTTTGTTTTTAGTATTTTATTTACACAGTTCTTTTTTAATATTATTCCAAGATGGCTGCCTTTATGTGTGTGTGATGTGGTGTACGAACTTCGATTTGTCTTTAAATGTGTACGTCTCTCCCATTATCTATTTATTCTTAATTATGACAGTGAATGTTAAACAAGCCGGTAACTCAGATAGTTGGACTAGCCGAATACCAAGGCCCTGTGGTAAATGAATAGCGCCAGTTGTTTCGATCCGTGGTAAGATATTAGACTTGTGTATTGTCACTACTAGTGGATTACATATGAGACATGTAGATTACTAAAGATAAAGACTTTTCACTCACAATTACATCTGCTCAGGTTTGGCCACTTGTGAACCTGTGTTTACGTTAATAAGGCCCGTGCGATGGTCCGTTTGATAATCATTAACCTTATCACACTCGTAATAAGCTGCTACCGCTCGTGACGCAACTAAAAATGGCAATTTCTGTTGTAATGACGTTTGTCGTATGAGTTACAGGGACCAGAGAACAATGGCCATTTCAAATAAGATACCCGGATGTCATTAATAGCATGCATGTTTGTCACGTGGACAAAAATGGTACAGGAAGTAAATGTCCTCTGGACGAAGAGGCTCCTGGTAAATGTTATTGATCTTGAAACTTTCGAAGAGAGTATCTCTTCGCACTTCATTTCATGTTTAAATTCGTCTAGAGGGACGTAGTTGTTCGCCTAGAGGGACGTAGTTGTTCGAGATTGATTAAAGTTACTCAGAAGGTATGTGATAAATACAGAAATACGTATGATGACGGACCTACCAAACTTACAATTACAGTTAGACAAACTTCTATACTCTGTTACTATAAAGTTTTTTGTTTTGTTTTTTCATTGGAACTATTATAATTTAGTTCCTATTGCTTATTCTGTTGCATTTCCTAAACGTTGCGAGTAAATATTTTTCTAAAGTTAAAAATACCCGTGTTTATTTCTGGAAGTAATTTTGAACCAATGAATATTCACTTGGCTGTGTAACATTCGGTATATTTATTGATCAAATACCTACGTACTCCAAGTCATTTGTTTTTGGTTCTATTGTTTTGTTAGCAAGTATTTTCTCATTAAAACTCTTATAATATCTTAGTTTAAACATCACCTTGTAACGGTTTATCTCAAACCTCTCTTTGTATCACCTTGAACTACGTAAGTTTATACATGATACATTTTAGATTGAATATAGAAATAGCATCCCAGTTTAAAATCTTAGTTGGAACATAAAAGAAACATGTTAGTTACACGTCTCAGTGTACCACCTTAACTTGAACACGAAAGTAACATATTAGTTTAAACGTTTCAGTGTACCACCTGATCTTGAACATAAAAGTAATAGTTTAAACGTTTCAGTGTACCACCTGATCTTGACACATAAAAGCAATAGTTTAAACGTTTCAGTGTACCACCTGATCTTGAACATAAAAGTAATAATTTAAACGTTTCAGTGTACCACCTGATCTTGAACATAAAAGCAATAGTTTAAACGTTTCAGTGTAACACCTGATCTTGAACATAAAAGTAATAGTTTAAACGTTTCAGTGTACCACCTGATCTTGAACTTAAACGTAACATGGTAGTTTAAACGTTTCAGTGTACCACCTGATCTTGAACGTGGAAGTAACATGTTAGTTCAAACGTTTCAGTGTACCACCTGATCTTGAACGTGGAAGTAACATGTTAGTTCAAACGTCTCAGTGTACCACCTTAACTTGAACATAAAAGTAACATGTCACTTTAAACGTCTCAATTAATACATTAGCTTCAATCCTTTTGTATAACACTTAGTTTGAACGTGAGTGTAGCATCTCAGCTTTGACATCTTTGACTTGAATTTTACTTTGAAAAGTTTGTGCAACATCTTACTTATAGAATATCTCTGAGCATGATCATAAGATCTTAATATATATGTATATCACTCGAATTTCTCTCTGTAACACTTTAACTTAATCATCTCTGTAATACAATAACCTTATACATCGTTGTTTTACTTCTTCGGATAAACATCTCTATTTCGTTTATACTGTGCGATGTGCATTTTTATTTTGGTTTGGTTCTCTGAGTATGAAACTATCATCTGCTGTAGAGAAATATTTTTGGTTTATTTAATTAAGATTTTTTAAATAAAACAAAAGTGAAAGAATAATCTGTATCTATAACGTTCTTCATGTTCTAATTTATTCGATAGTAGAAAATCATTTGTTTCAAATATCATCTTTTTTTGGAACCAGACGACAATTTTAGATTTTAGTTCATCATCAGGCCAGGCAGGTTGTAGACACACTATTGCTGCTATAGGTAGCAGACGACAATTTTAGATTTTAGTTCATCATCAGGCCAGGCAGGTTGTAAACACACTATTGCTGCTATAGGTAGCAGACGACAATTTTAGATTTTAGTTCATCATCAGGCCAGGCAGGTTGTAAACACACTGTTGCTGCTATAGGCCGCAGACGACAGTTTTAGATTTTAGTTCATCATTAGGCCAGGCAGGTTGTAAACACACTGTTGCTGGTATAGGCACTCATTCTATAACGAGTGAATTATAGTTCTTTTGATATGATTGTGATAAAATGTAAATATATGCGTGAAGATTTTACATTGAACCTTTTTGTGCTTTACGGTTTATAGAATCACAAGTAGATATAAGTAAATATTTTACATTTGGAGCCGAAGTTTCTACGTGAATGATGGAAACGTGTGAATCAGTAACCATTAATAAGTCGAGAGTTTTGCATTAATATTAATATGCATTATAAACTCAAAATTTCATCCAACATTTGTTTTTGAAATTTTGAGTTTACATCACATTCCCGTGAACAAGTATACGTGTTATATCCCATTCCTATGAACAAATATACGTGCTATATAACATTCCTATGAACAAGTATACATGTTATATCACATTTCTGAATAAGTGCTTTAAATGCTTCACAGAGAAGAGAACTTAACTTGTAAGACTTGATCTAATATGTACCCTTTCTTTACAAAGTAATATACAGAAAAGTGAAACGAAT